ATTTCTTTTGGTGATAAATATAATCAAAATTACCACAAAAACGATGTTTTGTTTTTTTCGACAACCAATTAATTTTATTTAAATCATCACAACACAACAACAAATACTTCTTTTTTATACTTCGTTTTTTTAATTTATGAAAAACATGAATATTTTTCTTTTTATAGTTTTAAATAATCCTGATATTTTCCAAATAAAATAGATTATTGTAACGGTGAACTCGGTCATTTATTGCAATGTTTATTGTTAAATCAATTAATTAATAAATTTGTCGAGTTTCATAGGCTCTTTTTGCTGTAGTAACCCATGAAATTACATTGATTATTTTAACATTGAAAAAGTTGTGAACACTCAATCATTATGGTTTTAACTCCCTTACGAAAAACCACGAAAAAATTTATTTGTTCTTTTTGGTTATTTTTGAAAAAAAAGACCGAAATTTTCAAATAAAACGAGTTATATTTACACGCAACTATTTTTAAGTAAAAAAAATTCGATAAATAACTGATGATAATCATCTAACTTTAAAATCAACTAATTTCATTAGTATGTTAATTTTTCTGGTAATCATTTCAATTGCACAGTCTTCGGATTCTCAATGTTTCGTTTGTTCTTCTCTTTTAAGCTTAGAGTTGTAATTGTTAAATTGTTTTCTGTTCGAACACAATTAACTAATAGAAAAATTTTGTCGTTGGTCCTTTAGATATTTTATCAACGAAATTCGAGAATAAAGACGACATTAAGTTGAGTGAACCTTGTATAGAACAAAGTGTCCTACAAAAAGAGCAACGCACATTTCCCTATTGCTACGTTTCAAAAAACATTTATTTTGACAAAATTAATTTTCAAAATTATCTTCAATGTGGACAATGCATTGATTTATATTTTCCAACACACTCCCTTATACAATGTGAAATTATAGGATTTTTCACAGTCGATAATTTCAATGAAACTTCAACCATCCAAATTGTTGACATTTCTTATACGCAGAACCAGATTATTATTTATGTTGATGATTTGACAAATTCCACGTCTACCAATCTTCAGAATATCAACGAGGTTTCTTTTATACGAACATTTTGTCATCTTTCCAACCTCCCATTTTTATACCCAACCACTTCTTTAAATACAAATGAAGTGACATTTAAAGCAATTGGAGTTAAATCCCCTGTTTATTTTATTCGAGTTGAAAACAAAGATTATTATATGAACACTGATGGAGTCTTTTCTTTGCCCAAAAGCCTTTTCGATAAAAAGGTTGTTGTTACTGCTTTTAATTTAAAGTATGAATCAATTAAATTTGAAGCCAACAATTGGAACTTTTTACAATTGTATGCTTCAAATGGATTTGAAAACCACGAAAATACAACAAGTTGTGAATTCTACCCAGCTGCCGTTCCTTACGACATTAAAGATTCTAATAAAGTGTCAGAGTGGGCTTTTTGGTGGATTAATATCATAAATATGCAATTCACATATTTGACACCAAAAGATAAAGGTATTTTCTTCACCACATCTGGTCCCATTTCTGTGTTAAACGTCCGATCGCCATCTCCCATGATGTACAACTACTATTTTAATGAGGTAAAAATGGTGATCGAATTTAATGGGACACTTGAATTTTTAATGGGTTCTGTTGGGATGGGGAAACAAACGAATGGAACAAATGTGGTCGAAGTGAAGTGCTCCAACATGACCATTGAAACAATCACAAGAAGAGATTTGAATACGAATAAAACTATTATGGAATTTCGTGGAGCAATGGATAGAAAATGTAAAGCACTCAGTTTGTTCTTGTGATAAATTATTCCTTCACTTAAAAAATGAAAATAACAAGTAGCAAATTTCTTCTCGTTTTCTATGATGACACGACCGGGGACTTTTCTGAATTTTACAGAAATTACTTTCACTTCGAAGAAGAAAAACACTTTAAAACAGTGTCCGTATTCAGACTATTTGTGTAATAACAGACAATGTGCGTATAACACAAGTACATGCGAAGTGATTTGTGGGAAATGTGGTGTTGGGTATGAATGTGTTGATGGTTATTGTGAAGAAGAAAACAACAACAATTCGAGAAATGGAACAAGAGGTGTCCAACTTCTATTTCTGGTACTTTACTTCCTCTTTGTCTTGTAATGAATTAATTTTATAATTAGGTTTTGAACAAAAATTACATAAGCAAACAATTAGATTTCTTTATTATTGGTATCATGTAAACCACAAGTAAAACAACTATCTTATTGTGTATTTAAACATAGACCTAAGAACCGTTGAAGGGATGGTTCTGGTGTGAACACAGGTTGGTTTTTAAGTATGTTATAAAGTGGAACAAGGACTCTACCGGGCAATCGAGTTCTTGAAGCAAAAGCGAGTGCATAATCATCTCCTTTTAACTCAGAAAGTTTTTCGACGTTACACCGATCGATAATTCCGATGATATTAGCTTTTAATTAGTTTATTATAATAAATTAAATTATAAAAATAATAACAACAAACCGACGATGGGCACTTTGTTTCGTTTGCACTGTTCAAAGTGTTTTGTGTATTCTTTCACATTTGAGATCCCAAAGATTTGTTCCAGGTCTTTATACTTCTCACTGCAACTTTTACTCACGTCTTCCCAATCATCGCAGAATAAAATGATTTGCGAAGTCACTGCGGAGTACACCATAAACGCCACATTGTATTCCCCCAACTCTAATGACTCGATCGCAACATTCATAAAGAACTCAAACGCCTTCTTCTTCTTTTCGGAATATTTGACGGCGGCCTCGGTGATGAACTCGACACAACTGACTTGTTTGACGTACACGGAAAACTCTTTACTTTTCGAGAGGAAGTCAAAGATGGTCAATTTCTTCATCAGCCACAAATCAAGCGCAAAGAGTTGTTCAGCAAACATCTTTGGTTTGATTTCAAAGAGCGTTTTATCTTTCCCGTCGATCTCGATTGGTTCTTTCAATATGCCTTCTCTGATCTTCTCGCCTTGACAATCGCCCATAATCTCTCCCATCGATAAAAAAGTTAGTGGGACGGAC